TAGGCATTTCACTGGACAAATACACAAGCAACAGTTTGGAGAATATGTCGTCAGAATCTGTTCAATTTTGCAGCTTTGCGATCATTTCCGACTGCCTCAAGCACGAATCTGTCACACTTCATCTATTTTTACGTCACCTAATCTGATTTTTGAGGTCAAAATGCTACGTAAAAGTTTACTTTTAGTTTACTTTCAGTTTACTTTCAGTTTACTTTTCTGACAAAGCTGTCTCGCAGTATAAAAATAGGAAGAACTTCTAAAACTTAGTATTTCATGAAGCCGATTTCGGCGTTGCTGCAGAATGGCACTTCTTCGCTACTGCACATGGTAAGTATTGGAGGAACCTTGAAAAAATTGACCGCCCGAGCCAGCTTTTAAAGGCCTCAAAATGAGCAAATACTAACACCCGAGACCTCTACAAGTGGGCTCAAGAAAATGTAAAAAACATTGACGTAGCGTATTCCTCGGCAGCAGACTACAAAAAGAAGCGAACGTCACGGTTTTCAAAAGCTCTCCGAGTTAGTGGGGCGCAACAAATTCATGCTGCCATTCCTTCAACAGCAGGAAGAGTCCCTTACGAAACAGTATTCGTTTTCAACTGTTGCAGACGAACAGAAAGTTTACGAAACACAGGATATTTCTGCAGAGAGGGCTCGCTACAGGTTTGCAACATAACAATTCGAAAATATTTTCATTTGAAAGATAACTTTAAAAAGAAATTTGTGAAAATAAAAACATACCAAATGTTAATAACGGCTCTTTTGAGCTTTTAGAAGCAGTTGACAATAGTGCCGCCATAGTAAAACATACAGGATTACGGTAACGGCAGACGATTTTATCCCGTCAGATTTCCTATTCCGGCTCGTAGCTCCTGATACCAAAAAATCGCCGTCTCGAAATTTTGATATGTTGTAGAGCAAAAAATTCTGCACAAAATGTGTTTTTTTTAAAAATTCAAAACTTTGTTTTTTTTCATGTTTATTTGAAAATTTGTTTTTATTATATTTATGTGATTTTTTGACAGAATTAAAAGAATATGTGCATTTAGCATTTAAGATTCAGGACATGACAAATTCAATAAACAAAAAAGCATGAAATTCTATTCAAAATGAGCTAAATTACAAGTCTGTAAAGATAAGCATGTTGAGTGGCAACCTGGCAAATTTCGTCACTTTTATGGGGCGTAACTTGGCGGGGAATTCACTTTTCCAGGTTTTTTTGCG